TAGTTCTCTAGAGAGGTGAGTAATTGTTTATGAACAATCTAGACTGGGCTATGTAGAGAAAGTGATACAGCTTATTTTCTGCATCTAGAAAACATAATTGTATTTGTCTGCAGAACAGCAATGGCTTCTGATGGGAGACCTCTGTGGTTTAACTTGCAAACCCATTTTTGCCTTGCCATTTTTTAAACATGATAAATGAGAAAGATACATTTGCAAGTACAACTGATTTAGAAGAAGGCACCCAAACCTGTAACAAATCACATTATACTATAGATTTTATGGGTCTTGAAAGAAGGGTCAGAGATAAAATCACGGTTGAATAAAGAACACTATAGCCAAGTCTGAATCAAGTATATAGATCAGAAGAACTCGTAGGAGACAACATGAGAATTAAATTGCAGTCTCCTCTCCTTCTAAACTCACAGAGAGAGAAATACCCTTTTCAAAAAAGCAAAATGTTTGTATAATTTGGATAAAACATTGTAAGTTTAATGGAAAAAATGTTTCTCATAATGTGCTTTTAACTGCAACTGAGCAAACTACCTCAGAAGTCAGAGGAGAAAAAAATTCAGTCCAAAAAAAAAGTTGTTTTGCTTAGAATACAACTAGAAGATCTCCACTTTGCTTAGTACTGCTCATACAGCTGCTAACTACAAGTTTGGTTTAAGAAAAAAGAGGAAGACAAACTACTAACAGTGGAAGTTTTAAAAGAAAGAATTACAAACTTTCTTCCTAGCAGTGTCTCAGAAAACTGTATATTGAGCCAGGCCTTCTTAATCTGTTTTTTCAGAAGTCTTCTGGCAGATAAAGCTTATTCACAATATATGCACGCTCACTGATGAATGTGACCAATGTTTTCAAGTTCTGCTACAAGAATATCTTAGAGAGATCATATTGCAATTAAAAGAAATAGGAGACAAAAGCATAGGGCAGAAAACTTTGTATTAAGATTTAAATAACAGAAGTTAAAGTCAAAAAGATACTCTTGCTCTGTGGCTGCAGAGGAAGTGAGGAAGACCCCACGATGCTATAGATGCCATCCATTCATTGGGACAGGGCGAATATAAGGGATGGAGAAAGGTTTAACCATGCACAGAAAGGAACCTGCGAGCCCACCAGAAAGTCAGCTCCTTATTTCTGCTTGTTTCCCAGCTCTTTGGCAATACATTTACTTCATCATGCCTTTCTCTTCCCTCCCTACAAAACTCTATGATACACATTAAAATCAGCGGTAGGAGGCATCCCTGTGCAAAAGGACAATAGTCAGCTGCAATTCTAACAGCTCTGTCTAACAAAGCTAATGTTGAATCTTTTCTCCTCTTGCCTTGAATGATAAAGTAGAAATGACCTAGCACAGTTAAAAGAAAAAGTAACGATAGAAGGAAGAATAAGAAGTCTAAATTAAATCAGGCAACTGCCAAATTTTTAAGTGAGAGACTCTTAATAGGGAAATATATAGCTGCAATATCTCTAAAACAAAAAGTACTACTTCTGACTCCATATTTTTCTTATCTGCAAAATATCTTGATACCTGGATCACTGGCCTGTTTCTACTATAACTTTCTTCTTGGAACAGGCTGCCTATATTAAAATTTATAAATAAAAAGGCTTAAAAAATAATCAATGAGAAGCTGTAAACTTAATCTTTCGAGTTTTTATTAATCAAGAATTTCTTATACTGCTGTATGATAGATGGCTTTTTAAAATTGTGTATTACAAAAGCATTCTTCTGAATTGAGAAAAAATCATATAAAATAAATCCCACATTGCCACAGTGGTTTATAAATGACTGTGAAATGGGTATGCTTTAGAAAATTAATTACCAAAATATATAATTTATTGGATCCATTCACAGTGAAGTGTTTCCAGGGAGACAGAGAATAAAATCAGGTTTTCATTATAGTACCATACTTAGATAACTACATGTGAGAATTTCATCTCCAAATAAGCACAGATTATTTTTGTTTTTTGATATTAATTTTCCATTTTCTGTGTTCTTCCATAGCTCCTTTCCTATATTCACTCCAAGACACCATGATTATCAAAACACAAACTTGAGAAAAATACACTAAAAAAAAAATTCAGGTTGATGTCTGACATGATGAGGCCTTGCCAGGTTTCATCAGTCACTTCATGGCGTATAGAGTAATGCAGTCTGATTGATGCAACTTACAGGGACTCATCACCTTTCAAGTGTTTGCTGAAGAATGTAAAGGTATCACACAATCTTTGGACAGAATTCAAAGATCTACTATTTGAAATAAACACTTTGTTATTTCATTTTCCCAGGAAGATAGAATTTTAATTTTTTTACCCTTTGGGAGATCTTTGTTTATAAATACTTTTCTTGAAATTGCATGGATCATACAATTTTTAGTCTCCATTGGAAAATCTATGTTAAATAATTTCAACTTTAGAATGAAGTCAACAGTAAAGCACAGAAGTCTCACTCTAGCTTTATTTGGATACAGATTAGGACCTATGCTGCAAAAAGCCTTTTAGGGATACAGAAATTGGGATATGAGTTTATTCTGTCTAAGCCTTTCAGAAATGCTCATTCATTTAGAAATCTAATACTCTTCCCTTCATTCTGCGGGATAATATTTTTCTTCTCTAACAAGATGATGGAAGGGTTCACCTAAAGCAGGTCCTAAGGATTTAAAGCATAAATTTTGAAACTAGCCTTTTATAGCCTCTTTATAAGATAGTTTACTGAAGAAATCTGATTTTAAGACAAGATGATTATCCAGAGATTATAATGATCCAAACTTCATTAAATTACTTTTGAATAAACACAAAAGAAGACAATAATTTTCAAGTGATTTTTGAAAGTAAACTACTCTTTCACATTACAATGACAAAACACCTTAACATGTTTTTCTATAGAAACTGCCTGAAATGTTGGACATTATGCTATTTAATAGAACATAATTTGTATTTAATGTCACAGTCTAAATGACAACATTTAGAACCTGATAAATCCTCCACTATGATTATATTATTTGTGATATTTAAATGCTGCCTAAATATTTCTTTTGTGTGTGCGCGCTTGCAAATAATTAAATCAACATTTTTATTGTTTTAACCCTAAAATAATTTTTTCTACTTCAATTTGAAAATTCAATCCTACCTCTTGTTTATTTTTAATTTTAGCCACAAAAGAAAAATCAATCACTTGTACAAACAACTCTAGTAGTGTGATTCTCTGGTAGGACTCAATATATATACAGTAATCCATGAAATTCAGTTGAATATATCAAAGCAACATTAACTTAGGTTTTCCTAGGTTTTGGTTTTGTGGGTTTTTTTTGTTTTTTGGTTTTTTCATTAGTTGCTCTGCTTTCTATGCCACTAATATCAACAGGTACTGTGAGAACTCAAACCACTTTGAAGTTAAAGACAGTTGAGCAGTACTTTGTTTTTGAAGTTTGATAAAAAAATTACCATGACATCTACAACTTATGATTACATTTCTTAATGGCAGGAAATCAATCCTCAGTGTCATTTGTAAGATGCTTTATTTTTTAACTTATGATAGATGTTTTGAAATCTCTGGTGTTGATTATATGTTTAAGATTAACTTTCTTAGTATTTAATAATCTGATCAAGTTTGAACCTTAGTGGGATTCAGTATGATCGTCTTTTTCTCTGCTTGTGTTATTCCACTTATTGTCTTAGGTTTTACTATGGTAAAATTCTTGTACAGCTGCTACCTGTCAAGAACTGCTGCTGACCCAACAAAACACTGATGTCTCCCTCTTCTAACCCCAAATTAAACAGACATAATTTAGTGTATTATATTGGATACTTAATCATCACTACACTGCCTGTAAAAGCCTTTTCTTTTGGTTTAGCAGTGTTAAAACAGATTGTTTTACTAGAAAAGACAGACATCAGATGATATGAATGAAAGGGAAAGGAAAGTTATCCCACATATGCTGGCAAGCAACAGTCTTGAGGCTTATGAAGAAAGTTCAGTCATAGCTTGACTCTGGGCTTCCTGGATTTATTTTAATGCTATATCTGGCATTACACGGAAGCAGAACTAACTAATATTTTTTTTTTTTTCAAAAAAGACTTGAAGTTGTTAGCAATGCATTTCTTAGTTTTACAGACCAGAAAGGGGTATCGTATCATAATCATCATAAACCAGAACCATCTTACACTTTCTTGACAACTGAACTTTAAAACTAGTGGGTTAATTTCAAACTCTATAAAGCAGGCATCACCAGGTATAGACTGACTACAGCTAAACACCCGTGACTGGTGAAGCAATTCAAGTTTTGTACCTTATTCTAGATTGTGAATGGAAGCACAAGTCCAGCCTAAGTTCATATTACAATTTATTAAGCAAAGTTAAAGCATTTATCTAAAACAAACTTAGGTAACCACTTTTTTTTATAAGCTAACACATTTCTAATATTGAATGAGTTACATGTATATGTATATGTATATGTATATGTATATGTATATGTAATGATGGCAGTAAAATGCCAATGAGAATTATTTTTCTTATATTATTTAACATATGTTCAAGTCAAGACAAGGTTTCTACTTACTATACTTCATCTGAGCCTCCTTATGTAAAGCAGAGTACATACCCTTAATTCACATAGAAGTTAGACTTGATAATTTGTACACATAAAAAAGAAAGGTCATAGCATATAACAATGTTTTTTATCAATTGTGAAGGGGCATTAGCTAAACAAATGGCATAGGTACCACAAAAAAATGCTTAATAGCAACATATGATAGCCAAATAACTGTGATAAGGGTGACTTGTACCATAGTTGGTCCTGCAGAGTGTAAATTCAAATCTGCCTTTAGAAGAATTGATTTTTAGATTAAGCAACATCTTTAGGTTGGTCAAGCAATCACTGATTATGAGAACACTAATCTCCAGTGGATGAAAATTTTATAGAAGATTGACAAATTAATTATTACTAAGGGCATTAAAAAAAAGAGTTTACATTAATTTAGAAACCTTATTATTACCGTACCTGTTACTTTCAGTCTGTCAGCTCCAATGACAATCTCATCTTCATCTGCAGAAAACAGTACTTTTCCACCCTCACTTGCCCTCACTTCAAATCTCTTACACTGGGCCTCCACAGCATCAGCTCCTGAAATCAAGGAAATGAATGTTTCATCTAAGATATCTTATAAGAATAAAAGTAATGATCAGCATGGATCATCAGTGGAATGTCCAAAACATATCGAACATATGAGGCTTTTATAAAGTAATTGGCTTTATGTAAGCCTGGTAGGTAATTTACAGAGTAACTATTTCACTATTGAACATCAGGACAGAATTTAAAGTATCTATGAAAAACATCTATTTTTGTGTCACATGTGGAAGTCAACACAAGAATTTAGAATGTACTTAAACTCTGAGATCTTGAAATGCCAATTAAGACAGAGCTTTCCAGGTTTTGTTCAGCTTAAATTGCAGTTTCTTGCTAATGGAAAAAAAAAAAAAAAAAAAAAAAAAAGATAACATACGAGTCTATCCCGTAAAGACCAACAAGTCAACACAGCAGAAAAGGGTATTTTTCATTCAGTTCTACTACAAACTTGAACAGCAGAATAGCAAAACAAAGCAAAACAAAGCAACAACAAAGTGAACAAAACAGATTAACTGAGATATCACAAATGTCTCAAAGCTTCAGAACCTGGTGTCATATACCAAAGATCTGAAAAAAATTACTATGCTTTTCAGTTTACAGATCTTATCCTTATTCTTCAATGTTTTGTCTGCTAAATGGTTTCTGAAAATTTTTATTTTCTTTTATTAATAAGTGAAAGCAAAACTTGAGTTCTGAAAATGGTGTTGAAAAGCAATGAACTCCATATAACACAGCTGTAAAACAGATTATAAGATTTCAGGGAATAATTATCTGACAATTTTCTCATTGATCCCTACACTTGGAATGACCCATCAATCTATATGGGTAAAAATTTTGGGGAAGGCATTATAGACAAATAATTACACGCATGTCATGTCAGTCTATCAATCTGGCTTATAGGTTTATTAAAAACACTTGTTTCCATAATGTGGAAGTTTTCAGTTTAATATACAAATGCACATTATCAAAAAAAATAATTAGAAGTATAAAAGCCATGTTAACTAATTTTGTATGAGGAATTGCCATGGCAGCCCTTAATTTGCAGAATCAGCTATGAAATCAAAACAACTCTTTTTACTTTCAGATGAAGTTTCATTTATACTGTGAAAAATTTCTGATTATTTTAAATTCACAAATGTAAAAAGAAAATTAAAAGGAATTATAAAAATATTTGTGATGCCCCATTTTCTTGTAGTTGGTAATGTTTACTCTGTTGTAAAAGTATAAAATGGTATTTTCTCCCTCTCTCTGTACAATTGAACTTTATTTTAAATGTGATAATCAGGTTGTTAGCTTTGTTTTGAAAAAGTACAAAATTTTTGTAAAGACAGACAGGGACAGATTTCAGATAAGCTAATGTTAGCCATGGGATAAATGCTACATCCTATAAACGTTCCAGATGCTCACTAATAAAAGGTATAACAAAATCTAATTGTCCATCAGAATAAATGTAATCACAATATATATTCACACATAGCTGTCTTAATGAATTCATCCTTTACTCTTAAATACTTTCCAAAGGTCAGTGGTGGTGGCCCTGATAGTATTGCCCCCAGGCACATCTGAATTATTTGTTTAAAATGCTAGCATTTAGCTAGCAATGCAAGCTAGCAATACAGTTGAGAAGGATATTCTGTTCTTTTGCACTGTCACAGGTAAAGATAAGTTTTTAACAAGCTGTTAAAAATATATTTGTATTTATTTGTTATATGAATCCATATTTTATTAAACCCAGTGAGATCTAGTCATTATCAGGGTTCTGGTGAGTTCCACAGAGTGTTATGTATCTGTCCAGTGGCAGAAACACAAGAGGAAACAGAAGGTCAATTTATCAACATGACTTTTGAAGATTATATGCTCCACTGATAATTTACAGGCGTACATGATTTAATGCTCAAAATGACATATGATAGTTATGAGCAAACACTGTTCACAATAGTAACACTAAGGTGTAATCATCTTTAGATAGCACTGCACAAAAATGTTTATTCTAGAATGCTTCTCATAGTTCAGAAAGGGAAGACCTATAGAGGCTAAAAAGATCAATGTTTTATTGTCGAATATAAGTGCTTCCAGAAACCTTGTGGTTTGAAGGAAGATAACGTTAAAGCTGTTGCTAAAATTATTGACGACCAAATAAGTGGTAGCTTCATATTTGAAACAAGAATGCATGCTGCTATTAGCCATTTCATTATAGTTGGAAGAACAATTGTGCCATTGATATTTTGCCACTGTGTTCTCTGGAGGAGAAAAAAACAAGTCTGTTACTAAGTTGCTTAGGTTGCCCTAATGAAATCATACACTGAAAGGTTCAGAATCAAATAGTCTTACTATGGTAAACAGAAAAACCATTTACATTTTACATAAGCCTTTTACAATGTCTAGTTTTATTCATGGATATATATTTTCTTACTGCTTCTGTTGAAATTTTTTTCAGAATTGAAAAAAATTCTGACGCTATCAAAACATTCTATTTTGATACACTTTTGGAATAGTGTTCCATTTTTGGCTTGGAAATGCTTGTTCTTTTGAAATATTTAAAAGGCATACAATTAAAAGGCATTAATTTAATGCAAAATTTATGAAAGCCATATTAAAATTGACTTAAACTATATTATTTTGAGGAAAAATCGGAAGCAATAATTTTTCCTCAGTCACAACTTTGATTTCAAAATCTTAAAATCCTTCTTTTACTGTACATTTATTTTTCTACACAAGTCTAGTTTTCAATAATTTTGTAAATTTCGTCTATTTAAGGTAGGTCTTAGAACAGAATGAATTACACTTCATGAGGACTGCATTTTGAATCATTATTGGAAAGTATAGGTAAGAATTCTATTGTAGAACAAAATTTCAGTTAAAAAAGAAATAAGAATTGCATTTTAAAACAATAAGCTCATGGTTTCAGGTTGCTTAACAACTACCAAAATGTTCTATGTGAAATTCTTGCATACCAGAACGTATTATATATACATATAGCACTTGATAGACTATCAAATAATAAAGAAGATCATACACTTTAAAGTCTTTAAACACTACTATATGCAAAGCATGGTATTCTTTTTTTCCCCATTTTGCAGAAGAAAAAGACATTGCAGAAGACCTACATAAGGGTACCAACAGCCCCTAAAATGCAGACGGTTCCTACTGGTAAGTGGTGCTCACTGTCTGGTCCCCCTACACATGCTGGACTGCTGTGGCATCACCTGGACTAGTGTGCCTGCCAGGCACCCTGCCCGAGTGCTTGCATTTTCTTTGGAGGGAAACTGCAGCAAGAAGGAGGGAGAGCCCTTGAGTCTCACCTCAACAGCCAGAGCTCATACTTCAGTCAAGTTCTGGGAAAACAATCTGAGGACAAAAAAACTTGAAAATCCCTCCTCCAGCATCTAGACAAAGCTCAGTCAGGATATTTGTGTTATAACAGGTAATAAACCCAGGCAGACTGAGCACATTCTGCTTTATGTGAAGCATTGTCTGGAGAGCTGTTTGTAAAAGTACTGTGACCATTTATGGAGACAGGTAATGAGAACTTAACATAGGAACAAACTTTTTAGTATGGCCTGTTGTGATAGGACAAGGGGTAATGGTTTTAAACTAAAAGAGGGTAGATTCTGACTAGATATAAGGAAGAAATTTTTTTATGATGAGGGTGGTGAAACACCAGAACAGGTTGCCTAGAGAGGTGGTGCCCAGATGCCCCACCCCCGGAAAATTCGAGGTCAGGTTGGGCGGGGTTCTGAGCAACCTGATCTGCTTGAAGATGTCCCTCCTCATTGCAGGGCAGTTGGACTTGACCCTCAAAAGTCCCTTCCAACACAAACTATTCTATGATTCTATGAAAAATAAAACTCCTTTGAACTGATTTGAAAAAAAATAATACCATACAACTAGTATTTATTGTCATGGCCCAGGAGACTTGCTTTTTAACAGTGACGGGTTGCAAAGCAAGGAGTCCACCACAGCGTGCTGCCTGTCTGACAACAGCGGCAGCATCCTGGAGGAGCAGGAAAGGAAAGTTGAAAAAGCATGGAAGGTTGGCCCTGTCCTTGTCCTGCAACTATAGTTATGGGTCAGGAAACCAAAGGACAATCACAAATAACTTACTACTAACTAGTTTCATCTTTATTTAAGCACTGATGATTACTTAACTACATAAGAGTAAGTGGCATTATAAGTACTGTAATGCTGTTAATTTACACACATCAAAGTTGTTAGTTCTGTAAAGAAAAGGGATTAACAGAAAACATGAGAGAAATCAAAGAGAATAAAGACCTGCCACATTCTTAGTCATTATATATCACTGCAAGTGACAGACTATATTTCAATAACTGCCTTTTAAAACTGGTAGTGTATTTAGGATAATATAGGTTTTCATGAAGAATGATTTACAGAACAATGATCAGGAGCTTCTACAAAGAAATGCATATATTTTAGATGCTCAGCCTTTATGTTTCTTCAGCATCACATTGTATAAAAGTACACCTGGAATTCAGCTAGTCCAAAATATCATTACAGGATATAAATATATTTCTTATGCTAAAATAAAGGGGCTTCACTTAGTATTACTCACTTATGGCTGAAAGAGCTGTTACTGTATTCAAGCCACTTGAGAGATTACTAACAAAACACAATACAATTTTGTCTCTTTGACGTAGAACCAGATATGAATGTTATGAAAATGGCTTTGAAAAGCTAAACTGCCTACAGAGTAATCAATGCTATCAAAATGGAATTCTGTTTCATTACATTTTCATTTCCCAGTTGAAATAAGAGTAAGCAGTTGCATGTGCAATGTATTAGTGTATAATTTTAGCTGAAATGCAAATTGCTGTGTTCCAAAAACACTCTGCAAACATGCACATCTTGTAAAATGTCTGAATCTTTAATAGTAACACTAACAAAAATGATGAGAGAATCACCTCTTAGAATATCATGCATGAACAAAGTAAATATTTTGAATTTTTTGGCTCAAACTTGTAGAGAAATCACACTATCCA